ATTCGTCACCATTGCGAAATAGATTCATAACATATAAAAAGAGCTGAATTTCTTATTACGATGTCTGTAAGATCTGATTAGGGTCAATGGAATGAGCTAGAGATTAATAGAAAAGTGAAATATTGTTTTCATTACCGACAAATAGTTCCAAAGTTACGTTCAATTTTGTATAAAAATCGTATCATGAAAGATGCACAAAAAAACGAAAAGTTTATTAAATTTCAAATATTAATTTCACAAATTATATTAATTGTGAAAATATAAATCGCATGAAATACGTCATTTGCACGAGAGTATTTATTAGCGTTTCTTTTTATGACTCGTGTGATATACTGTTCGAAGCATAATCGAGTTATACTAAAGCGAAAGACAAATTCTACGTTAAACAAAAATAATCGTCACTCGTAATTATCGCAAAATCGTAACAAATTTCGTTTTCTATCGCGTTTTGATTCTAAATGAATGAACCGGACGGAATATCTGTTGTGTGTTATACATGATCATCATCTCATTCCTTTTACTAATTAATCGTGCGAGCTAGTGATCGTATACTGTGAGTATATTCATAAAGTCCAACGTTTCGTATTATATGTAGCATTTTTTGCGATTATGTTTCAAAAAGAAACGTAAAGAAGAGCGGCACGCGGCACAGCTACCTGCCTGTACGAGCCTCGGTAAGGAAATGACTGCGCGGTGACTACGTATTAACGTGACGCGCCGCGCCGCTCCGTGCCACCCCGTGCCACCCCGTACCAGTCCCCCCACCAAGGCCGCGCGCCAACCGTCTAACTATCGAAATATTAACGCGTATTACGAAGTAAAATAATATATTCGTTACGTTTTTAATATTCTTCGATAAATAGGCTTTATTGCGCGAGTTTTGCTTTATTTCTTAAATTTGTTACGCATTCACACAGCTCATGAATATCTTAGTTCAATTGTGCTATAATAAGTGATTATTAATTTGTAATAACTCACAAAAAATATATATATGGACATATTTAGTATATAATTATACATGAAAACTTTTTTCCGGGAATTTTATGTTATATAAAATCCGCGCAGTGTACACAATATTTTTAATAAAAGATTGATGGCTTGCTTTTTTTGTTATTTTTGAATTGCTAAATTCTGTCATTATACACGTATGTAAGTTTAAAGAATTTCTGAAACACGGAATAATAGTAGCAGTAATAGTAGTGCCTTAAATTAATTTATTAACCGAAAAATTAAATAATGATTAACAAAATATTTAATACTTTTAATCAGAGCTGTCTTTAGCGCAAACTGTTTCGCAATACCACATATTAAGAAAATTTGCATGTATTTTTATATAAAGGATATATAGAATATTATCAACCTTCATTTAAGTATGAATCATTAAAAAGAATAATAAAAATTAAGACGTAATGTTAAGATATCAAAAATACTCTATGTGAATATAATTACTAATTATGTTTAAAAGAAACGCGCAAGTACTATAGGATTGAACAAGTGACAAAAATGCTACAAAGCAAAACCCGAAATGTACGACGATATCCGTTTCTCATAATCATGTAAATTGTAAAATAAAGAATAAGTAATTGAATATACTGAATATTTTTCATACGCGACAGTTGACGATCCGAACGGCGCAGCGGTGGTCGGCGAAGTGCGAACAGCGAGGGGGGGGAGAGGAGACTGGGGAGAGCCGAGAGTGCGGTTGACTACGTCATCACTTCGGCATTCGCTCGCACTCGGTCAACTTAGTGCGCACTAGTGCGGCCAGTGAAATATATTATTAATTGTATCGTATTCTAACCTATTTTATTGAAAAACAACAACATCACAGGAATCTATTGAAGTATCTATATCTTTTCGGACAGATTGTTTTAAACAATTGCAGTTATTTTATTTTTTTTCCGGCTTTGAAAAGGAATCAAGGTATGATGAAATATTTATTGTAATATTTGTTATAGTGTACAGATACCTCATTTCAAAATTAGTGACACAAAAAAATTCTGAAAAATTATTTTTCAGAAAAGAGAAAAAATTGTTTTCAACTTTACAGAAAATTATTCATTTTAATTATTGAACTAATCAAATGGTAATTGTTTAAAATACCATACTCCACCTAAAATCTTATTAAAAATACATTCATTCGACGCGTTTTCACTCAAAATGAAAGAATCTGGCAATAAAATACGGCGGTCGGCCTCGTGAACCGAAATATTAAGCGTTGAAATTTAATATTTTAGAGGTTAAGATATCTGTCATTTCCACTCGATACAGCGCTATGTATACGTTCTGCTTTAATTACACAAACTCACTACTTTAAAAACAAATTCTCTGCTTCATAAACACAAATTCACTCTTTAAAAGCACAAATTCACTGCTTTAAAAACATAAATTCACTGCTTTAAAAACACAAATTCACTGTTATAATGCAAAGAATTTGTGTGCTTAAAACAGTGAATTTATATTTTTAAAGCAGTGAATTTGTGCAATTAAAGCAAAACGTATACATAGCGCTATATTGAGTCGGGATGATAGATATTTTAACCTTTAAAAAAAATCTCGAACTTTAACAAACTTTAACACTTGATATCTCGTTCACGAGGCCGACCGCCGACTGCCGCATTTTTTTGCCAGATTCTTTCATTTCGAGTGAAAACGAGTCGAATGAGTGTATTTTTATTAAGATTTTAGATGGGGTATGGTATTCTAAATAATTACCTAATTATTTATAACCAATGTTGCTAGATCTTTATTTTTCTAATTGATTTTATTGATGTTTAAATAAATTATAGCACAATGGGAGAACGGAAGGGAACAAATTTGTACTATCCACCGGATTATGATCCTCGTGCTGGTGGTCTCAATAAATTCTTGGGTACTCACGCATTGCGTGAGCGAGCTCGCAAGCTACACATGGGCATTTTAATCATACGATTTGAGATGCCCTACAATATATGGTGCAATGGATGTGGGAATCATATCGGCATGGGTGTTAGATATAACGCAGAAAAAAAGAAGGTTGGAATGTATTATAGCACCCCGCTCTATCAATTTCGCATGAAGTGTCATCTCTGTGACAATCATTTTGAAATAAAAACTGATCCTGCTGTAAGTTATAATTACAATTGATAATGCAAATAAATTATTGCTTCTGAAATATTTGCTAATATTTTTATTGTCTTTTTAGAATCTGGATTACATCATAGTGAGTGGTGCAAGACGTCAAGAAAATCGATGGGATCCTAAACAGAATGAGCAAGTAGTACCTGAAACAAAAGAAGTCTCATGCAGATTGTATGACGATGCAATGTACAAGTTAGAGCATGGTATAGAAGATAAGAAAGTAGCCAAATCTCGAAATTCAGTACTGGAAAGTGCAATAGCCTTAAACGAAAATATTTGGAAAGATGATTACAGTTCAAACTGCGCAATGAGAGCCTTGTTTCGGGTACAGTTATCAAATTTAATTTTATACTATATAATTTTTTCATAAAGTATATTTAATTTTAAAAACAAAATAACTGGTATGAAAGGAGTAATTGAGAGTTTGGGCGGTAAACAATGTGTAAACATTTTAAAAGATAATATATGGTATAAGTAACATTAAGACAGTTTATAAATTAAATATTACTTAATTTGATTAACAAGTTCTCCATGCCACTTAATCATGTTGCATGGATCACTGATGACAGTATTTTTGTTTGCATATGGTTAAAAAAATTACACAAATTATTATAAAGAAGGTTTACTTATCAGTATCAGTATGTCATCATTATGTATCTATGTATATTAAAAATTATTTATAATTACGTTTCTTTTATAAACGGAATATCAAATGGCTTGAATGGAAAATCACTGGCACATAGCATGGAACATGTTAATATGAATTTTTACCGACTGACTCATACATTTCATATTACAGGATAGAAAAAAGGAGCTTCAGAAAAAGCAAGCTGATGATCATGCGTTATTAAAAAAAACTGGATTAGAAATTAATTTGGTAAATGAACATGAAGATGATATCAAATTAGCAAAATTACTGACTTATAAGAAAGGTGTTTATTCAGCACTTAAGCAAACTAAAATGCACATTTTCCTGTTACATATTTATGCTTTCACGAATGCTTTCTTTTTAGGTACAAGGAAACAAGAAGGTATAGAATTGAAACGATTAGTTTCGATTATACGATCTAAAAATAAAAAAAAGATATCTTCTTCGAATGACCGATTAAAATTACAAAGCCAGGAATCACCAAAGACACAGGAAATAACGAATAATGCTACTACCTCCAAAACTAGAAGTTCGAGCATATCTCTGGTCAGTTATGATAGTTCCAGTACCGATAGTGATACTTAGTTAACTTAGTATTTTATATATCTATCTTGAAATGTATGTACGATATATAATATATATTTGTAAATATAACAGATTACGGAAATAAATTTTTCACTAAATGCATTAATGTTAGAAATAAAATGTAACACTATACATAAATTACAAAAAATATTTTGATAAATATATTTTAAGATTAATCATAATTATAATTTTCAAATTACATATTGGGAGAATATTTTATTCGAAAGATTGAAAGAAACCATTATACAACTAACAGAGGCAGGTAATGGCTATGTTCAATAGAAAAAGTAGCTTTGCAATCGTATGATTCTTTAATATGATTAATTCTTGCTTTTATAATTCCTCACTGAATCTAAATATATAAATCGAACCAAGCACGCTCCTTCCACTTCTAAATGTGTAATTTTTAGTTCTTCTCTAGATATATAAATCAATTATTAAAAAATTTTACAATTACAAAAAGCTGCTTTTTCTGCAGCCAATGTTTCTTATAATTATACATTGCACTAATTTCGTTCTTAAAATATATATATTTTTAAAGATACATAACAGTGAATAGAGATCTCTCGCAATGATCAAAGAAATTGAATTTGTGTGTGTGTCAGATATCAAAGTTTACAAAGAGTAGATTTATTGTTTTGTGGGCATTAGATTTATTATTGTATCTAAACATCGATGATAGACTGCTGTTCAACGATCGCTGTAGTCTGAGATGGCAGTTTTCTCTTTACTACATAAATCTTCTTATTGGAGAGACACACGATATAACAATGATCCTTATATTTGATTGATATCTTTTCAAAAGGATCATGCAACGGAAATGCCTTAGGATCAACTTTACTCGTCAGTGTTACTAAACTACTGATAATATTTGCCACTCTTTCATCATTTTCTAAATCTCCTCCAGACTGTAACACAAACACAAAAGATTCTATTTGCTGTTACAACGGAAAGAAGAACATCATTAGAAACTGCCTCTTACTGTTAATACAGCACCATCCTCAGTTAATACCAAATATCCAATTTGATCAGGTATACGCTCCAACGCCAGCATTTTCTATAACAAAAAACTTGTTTTGAGACCTGTTCTTTGTCGTTACATCACAATGTATTAAAATTTTCTATCTCATTTTCACTAAATTTAAAATATAATATCTTTTATTTTAAATACAACAAATGTACATGGATGTGCACCAATTCAGCCACTAAAGAATAGATCTTTAGTCATGACATAATATTTAGAGAAAAATAAACAAGAAAATTGATAACGTTAAATAAAAGTTATTAAGACATAATTATGTCTCTCTCTCTCTCTATTTCTTAGGCTATGTTCGAAAACGTCTTCTCCAAGGAAGATTGTACTTTACATGCTATAGTATACATCGCGTGTACTATAATTCGAGTAAAATTTTCCTCGGAGAGGAAGTTTGGAACGTAGCCTTAGTTTACTTTGATATATCTATGTATTTTAATTAATTATATGTGTCGAGCTTATCCTGACTTACGCAATAGAACAGACAATGAAAAACGAAAGAACAAATCAGCTTACGTATGATGATAGCGTCAATGAACGATGAAATGTCATGTATACGACAAATTAAAGTAAATACACGTCTCAGCGGTCTCAGCACTGACGGAGTAATATTAAAGATGTGTAATAAAAATACGTTCGAAAACTTCCCGAATTACCGAAGACACTCTACTATCTAGCATAATATAAAGTCCATGGTAGAAATATACAAGGTGAAGGCCGCATGAATTACCGAAGACACTCTACTATCTAGCATAATATAAAGTCCATGGTAGAAATATACAAGGTGCAGGCCGCAACACAGGCTTTTGCATAAAGCATAATGCATGGTGCATAAACGAATCAACTAATCAGAATCTTTCCTTTTCTCCCATTCCATGGAAAAGAAGAATTTCGATTGGTTGATTCTCTTATGCACTATGCATTAGTCCGGATCTACAATAGGGTTTTAAGCCTTAAACCATAAGAAATGGCCGAATCACAGTCGCTTATTCTTCTCGGATTCGACTGTAATTGGTCAATTTTTTACGGCTTAAGGTTTAAAACACCTACTGTAGATCCGGGGTTATGCTTTATTATGCAAAAGTCTGTGTCGCGGCCTTGAAACCACAGAAAAACCTAAAGGTGCCGTCCCATAGAACGGAAATTGGCAATGGAACGAAACTCGCGGAATCAACAAGGCTGCGTTCGGAAACATCACCCGAGTGCTTCTGTGTATCGTTTTATCATTGTTGTTCAGCCAATGTTAAATAAGGATAAGGTGATACACAGGGGCACCCGGGTGATATTTCCGAACGCAGCCCAAAACGACTCACAGTCGTTCCGCTATTTTCGCTATAATTTCACCGTTACAATTTGCGGAAATGCGTTAAAATTTACAGTCGATAATGTAAATTGCTACACATGCTCCAAAATTTAAATAATTTTCTGATATACAAAATGTCATCTTTGCTCCGTCGATGCGATATCGTATTTCGTTACCCTTCTATTATTGATAAAGTAGAAATCTACACTACGTAGTATGACGACGCGTAATGTAGCACATTAGCTGTTATAACTTTGCATTATTTTTGTGTTTTTTTAGGCACTTGAAGGGCTCCTTGAAAAACATTGCAATATTTTTGAAATTTTATTAGAAATAAAAAAATAACCAATGCATAAGCAACATTTTTCCATCACCACCATAAAAATAAAAGCTCCTTCGGAGAGCCCTTCAATTAAATAAAATACTAAATTTTATTCTATGTGATTATTAGCGAAAGAGACAACGCTTGAATAAGGGCCTGCGTACAACAGAGGAATAAGAATTAGATATTAAGATTTCAACCTATCAGAAACCGTGTATTCCGATAAAATCAGTTTCTGATAGGTTGAAATCTTAATATCTAATTCCTGTTCCTTTATTGTGCTCAGGCCCTAATCTGTTAGGCCGGAATCAGACTACGCATTGAAGAGTGAGATTGAAGATTGAAAGATTGAAATTTGATCAATCAGAACAAAAGGAACCAAAATTTCTTTGTCCTCATTGATGAAATTTCAATCTTTAGGGCCATTCCACACAACTTGCATAGCCGCATAACCATATGCATAAAGAAAATTATCCAATCACATTTCAGTCATAAAGACAAACGTAAACTACGATTGGGCGATTTTCTTTATGCATATGTTTATGCGGCTATGCAAGTTTGTGTGGAATGGCCCTTATAACTGCAGCACAGACTCTTGCATAACACATAATACATTGTGCATAAGGGAATCAACCAATCGAAATTCTTCTTTTCCATGGAATGGGAGGAAAGGAAAGATTCTGATTAGTTGATTCGCTTATGCACTATGCGTTATGCGTTATGCAAAAGTCTGTGTCGCGGCCTTTACGCTCGCGCGATCAAATCGCAAGCTCGCACTCGTGAACGCGTACATTTTTTTGCATTCCAAGTGAGCTGTGATCGGCTTCGGACGTGTTATTGCGTCATCATTTTTGGAAAGTGTGACCGGCTTCAAACGCGCAATTGAGTTTGTTACTCTTTTAGACTTTTATTACTCACCGCATAAGCGGCATTTTCGATTCTGGCCGTATCGACACTGTGTTAGAGTCGGGGCCATTCTCACAAGAAGAAGAAGAAGTGAACGCGTACGCACACTCCCGCCAAGCCGTAAGAATAAATAGACTCGTTTTACTCGTTTACTCGTATTACTCGTTTAAGAAAAGCAAAACTCTTTATTCGTCACACACAGCAGTGGAAGAACGCGATTGTAAAGACACGGAAGTGATCGAAGTATGTCTGAATGTAGCGACAGCTCGTACACCAAATCAATGGCGTCTGTTTAACGCACACCGAATTTTACACCTGGGAGACTAGCCATCTTCCAGGAAAGTATCAAAAAGGAGGTCCTGCTTTTAGTGCATGTAGGCAATCGAGTTGATAGGCAATCATTTTTGTGTGCACACGAACTGTTGGCAAAAGTAATGTAGGCAAACAATACTGGTAGGCAATCGATTTGTAGGCAACGAGATCCTCCCCCTCCAGAAATTAAACAACTCAGAATCTCATGGAGGAAAGTCAACACTGAGAAAAATGATTTTGTTATAGGAATAAATCAAGGGAAAACAAATGTAATATTTGTTAAAAAAACGATTAATTAGTTACTATTGCAAATTAATTATTTCTCATTTGTCAATGTAACAAATAATCAAAATAGTATCACTTGTAAAAAAGAGGCTCATATACATATATAAAAGTCATAGACGGTCGCAAGATCTCAAATCGTAAGAAATTGGCCGATTCTAGTCAAGTGTTCTCTCTATATTTGACTGTGATTGATCAGTTTCCTACGATTTAAGACTCCACGATCATCTGCGATTTCTATGTAAACGAGTCTAAAGTCTATCCAAAAAATACATTAGATTCTATATATAGTTTGCTTCTGTTATTAGTAATTGATTGGTATAGCAAATTGGTACTAGCAGCAATCACAATAAATTTGTTGTCACATATTTACCAATTACTTTTAAACTGGTGGCTTGTTAAATTAACAAAATCCTTTCTCTCAGAGAAATTACGAAATCCTCCCAGAGATCATTGACATGTCTTACAAGACATCATAAAGATGTCTTAAAATTTATAAGAATATTCTTTGGAACTGTCAGAAAGATGTATATTTGACATTTTTAGGTGTCTTATCACGATTTATGATATCTTACAGATTTTGTCCTTAAGACTTAATTGCTTCAGACATTTATCTAAAAAATAAAAATAAAAATTACTGATACCAATTTCTGCTTCCTTTTGTCAGCGCATTTCCGAAAGCTTCGCATAAATTATAATTGTATGGTCAAGGCCTAAAAGGTTGTAACACTTTTTTAAAAATGAGTTTCGGAATGCAGCCTACTCACCAAAATAATTATTTATCAATCCATGAATAAGAATTAACCAATCGCTTGGTGAGTAGGCTGCATTCCGAAACCTATCGAAAAAAAGTGTTGCAACCTTTTTTTTAGGCCCTGATTATACAACACTATAATATAATACAAAATATTAGAATGTTAGATTAATTGACATTAAATATTTTTGTAGGTTACATTATTATATGTAGGGGAGACCGGGGTAAGTTGTTACAATTTTTGATTAGCAATTTTTTCCGTACTAATGTATACATTTAAATAATATAAGTTATGCCCACATCGTGTTGATGCCCGCGCCGTGCTATTTTCGAGCGAGTTGAAATGAGTGACCGACGAAACGAAATTGAAGAGCGCGTCACCGGTAATAACAGCTAATGGACTGTTAAACGGGCACCATACATTTGATGTATGTACGAATCGTCTACGTTCGGAAAGGCTCCGATCGCTTCCGTATCTTCACGCTGTTTACATTCTTTCGCTGTTGCGTATTAACAAACAGTTTTGCTCGTTTCTCTAAATATGTCTTTCATTTCTGCAGCTCGAGAGGGTGCATACGCGTTCGCGAATGCAGACTTGAAATTCGATTGCGCGAGCATCACAATATTTCCACATAGCACGTAATATCACATTAATATCACGGCAATATCATTTTTACATTGCAACATTACAATAAAATCTAGCAGAAATATCATTGAAATGTTGACTGAGATGTCACAGTAATAGTACAATATCCGCGAAAAAGAATCACAGAAATATTACTAAGATATATCACAGAGATATCGGTATAATATTATGTAATATTTCTGTGATATTTATGTAATGTTTACATTTATGTAATATTTATTGGAAAAAATTAAAATGTTTTTAAGAGAATTTATTAAATTAATATTTTTAATGTTATTCCACACATGATATTAATTATTCCAATTAATATTATAAAAATTATTTCATATAATATTAATAAAAAAATAATACTGATTGTTAAAAAATACATTAACTATTATGTAATATTATAATAAACTGAAAAAGTTATAATAAAATCAATGTCACTTATAAAATTATGTATGTGTACATATAATTTTGTGATATTTTAACAATGTCTCAATGACGTCTCTAACATCAATAAAATACATCATGAAAGCGTTATTAATTATAATGTCACTTTGCTATTTAAGATGTCATATTGTCACAATATTACTGTGATATTTCAATGTCAGTTATCAACGGGTGTATATCATTTGCCTACATTGTTAATTGGCTAATTTAAAATAATATAATCTCATTGGTAAAGCAGTAAAAAAAATACTATAAACCGACCGATATGAGTGGTGTGTGCAAGTGCACCGCTTCTATTATCAACATGTAATTTATCGATAATGTTTCTGTGATATTTTATTGTAATATGTAATATTTCTGATATATTACAATATTACTGCGATATTACTGTGATATTACGTGCCATGTGGGTTATTAATATTCATAGATCTTCCAACAGTTTCCTTAAATGTACTAGTGACATTGACTTAATTAATAAGTCTTGTTTTTTACAACTAAATTAATCTACACTTTTGTACTTAAAGTGAAATATATGTTTGAATTTGGTGAAAGCGAGAAGGAAAATTCTAGTACAGTAATAAAAAATAAACTTATAAGCGTTTACGAACGATTAGTTATAAAAAGATTGCACAGAAAAATCACAGAAGCGTATTCTCTGGTCATACGCGTTTACTTTTTCTATCGTAAAAAATCTGAAATTATAAAAAAGCGTGGCGAGTATCGCGCGCAGGACAGCCGCGGTGATTGCACGCTTGCGCAATGCTCGGCGCCAGTGGTTCTCCACAGGCACAACGCATTCACGTCATTCGTCGCGCGTCCTCCGTCCGAGCGCGGCTGTCGCCGGGTTCGCATGCGAAGCGCGTCCGTTATACGCTTTTCGTGCACCGCAAGACCACGTGGTACCACTCGCTTCAATT